TTAATCAAAGTCAAGGGCTAAAAAAAAAAAGTCTGAATTCTTCGATGATATATCTCTTAAAAAATTATCTCTATAGGAGAGTATTATCTCTTCATTAAAAAAGAAAAAAAAAACAAAAAATTTCTTTTTGTCGCTTACTTGTTCCTCAAGAAGAGGTTTCTTATGGCGCAAATAGCGGTGCAGTCCATGCTTAAAGGCAACCCGCGCGAGTTTCTCGGTGTCGACATTAGCGGCTCGGAGTCGGGTCAAAGCTCCCGGTGGCAAATCAGGGTATTCGAAGTACTGGTGTTTGGTGAAGAGCAGGTTAAGCACAGAGTCACCGACGTACTCTAACCGCTCGTTGGAGAAGCTCTTTCCTAGAGAAGCATGTGTGAAAGCTTCCTCTAACAAGCCTTTGTTGTTAAACTGGTAGCCCAGAATGTCCTCCACCTCATCCAGACTCGGCAACGAGTCTATCTGGGCTGACTCGACGGCTGACTCCATTTGTAGTCGGTCGAGTGCTTCCTCCTCTAGGGTATCCATGGCGGTCATGGTAAAATACAAAGGGAAGGGGTTGGTGAAATAAAACTGCTAATAATAATCTCTATGGACTGTATGTACCAAAGAAATAATGTCTATGAACTATGGTGGAAGTATTATATATAGAGATATATGCATAGACTAATTCGGAGAAGTTGAATGAGAAAAGAATAATAGGAAACAAGCAACTGGTTCTAGAACTAGGACAAGAGAGTTCTAAAAGATAATATTCTCTATTTTCGGTTCATAAATATTTTTTAATTGCCGTACAGTACATGTTAGAAAAGCAAAATAGAGGTCATAACGAGGGTTTCGGGGTTTTCAGTTCGTGGAGAGCATTAATATGGAAAGATTCTGTTGGCAGAACGTGTGTGAAAAGAGAAACAAAAAGTTGATCCGTTTCGTTTTCAACATTTTTCACCACCTTCATTTCCTTTTAATCTTATACTATTATTATTTTTCTTAAAATATATATATTTTTTCTTTTTTGATATACATGAAAAAAATCTAAAGTAAGATTAAAAAAAATTATTCTTGGTGTTGGATAATGTTATCCCTCATTTAATTTAATTACCAATAAGTCAAGTCTTGAATGTTGTTATTAGGTATGTGTTTAATTGTTTATAAGATATATAATAATTTGTAAACTAATAATAAACTTCAAAATTGATCTTTTTATATACTGAGGATAAAATTAGAAAACTTTTACATGGTACCTTTTATGTAACTATTTTCACGATGTTGTGCAAATATTTCCCAAGTGGATCAACATATTTTTCTTAGTATACATCCATGTATTGTCTATATTGAATTATTAAGTTAGCATATTTAGTTTTCAACAATTAATATGCTAAATTCATAATAAACTATTACTTTCCTTTTTACAATTAAATAAAATCTTATTTGATTATTTTATATATTCCATTTTGCTTGGTAAGCAATCATAAAAAAAAGGTGGCAATGCATGAAAAATGCTGCCAAAGGCACACCTCAATGAGATATACAAATTGGTAACGTTTTGCTAGGGCTTTTAGCGAAGCCAAGAGCTACAGCCTACAAGGACCCCCGAATTTAACAATAAGGTCAAAACGCCTTGTTCGTGCGGTGCAAGCAATGGTGCAATACAAGTCAGCCAGTGAGGAGAAGACCGCTTTATTTCCATGTGGGTGGGCAAAACAATGGGTTTGTTGGAGCTTTGAAAGTTGCTTTTGAGATCAGAAAGATGATGGAATACTTGGCACATTCCGATTACCCAACTGTATTCATATAAACTTATCCAAAATTACAAAATATTTCCAAAGCATTACTTATGCCTTGCATAGAAAAGAGAAAGTATATATATATATATATATATATATATATATATATGTATGTATTTTATTATTATTTTATCTTCTTAATATTTCCTCATCACCACTTCCACCATAAATTATATTAATCATTGTAATTCCCATCCTTCACAATTTATCCTACTCCGTCTAAATTCATAGCAAACTAAGCATGAGGGGACAAAAGGGCTTGTATAATTTTTGTTTTCGTTCTTGCTTTTAACAATTTAAGTTAAAAAAAGGCTAGCTAGTGGAATTTTTTTATCTAAAAGTTGAAATAATGTTTAAATACTTAATTAAATGATAAATTCATGTATCTTTTTAATGAAAAAAATCACACAAAAATAGTCATATATACAACACCAAGAAATTGTTTCATCAAGCCAATAATTTAATATTATATGTACATGATTAACGCTTGATTAATATCTCTTTTAATTTTGTAAGGGGTAACTTGGGAATATAATGCATAATGGAGGCATGATGTTTTAAAAATTCTTTCAACTATTCAAGAAATTTCATATAAATTCTTATTCTTCCATTTTATTTTAATAATAATTATTTAATTATTAATTTTAAAAATTTATTTGATATAAAATAAAAATAAAAATATAAAAATTTTATTGATCAGAGTAGATAAATAAAAGTTTATTTGAAAATTTTAAAATAATTTAAAATTTTGAATTAAAACCCTTAGTAGATAAAGAAAAACATAGCATGATCATAGATTTGGAAAGCTTCATAGATTTGGAAAGCTTCACAAAGATGTATGGACTTTAGTAGCCCTTTAATTAAAAAAAAAAAAGACAAAGTGGGTTTGTTAGAGTTTTTGACACGTCGTAAAGTTTTGGACGGAGCATGAAGGCCAAGAATCCAAGGACAAAAAAAGTCGCCTTTTTTACTCAAAACCAAGAGAGTCGTGAGACCTTTGGTGCTGGCTCTGGATTTCATCTGCTTTAAAAATTACTACTCTGAACGAAAGAAATGGTCTGATATGAACTTATACAGAAAGGGCCCATTACGGTGAACATACAGAGCAGGGGAGGTCGGCAAATTAGTTGGATCCACCCTTAAGCTTTGGCAGGCTGATGTGTTCAATGTACCAAACTACCAACAACATTCATTCTTGTGCCCCAAGAATTACTACTATATGCCTATGGTGGTACAGCGCTGAATTGCAGCCTTCATTGCCTTTTCTTTGTTTTATTTCTTGCTAATCACATGTGGAAAGCAATCAACTCAATTGGATGACGGAGAATGACAATTACTGTAACTTACAATTCTTTATAATCGACTTAAAAAGAAAAATGAAACACG